TGTATGGCCATATTGAAGCTTAAATATAATGCAAGTTCTTTCAGAACAACTCATTTCCATAATAAATTATACACACATATTAAAATCACATTTCAAAAATAAAAAAATAATAATCCTTTTATTGAAGTAAAATTTTAATAAATATTTATTAAACAAATACGAAATTATAAATTAAATATTTAATAAAAATATGTAAGTCATAATATCACAAAATCTACTTGCGCATTTTTATACTGAAAATATGTAAAATAATTCAAAATTACGTAGGTTAATGAATCCATAATATCCACTTACTTTAGGTCCTTAGTAGTTGTATTTCAAACATTTCAATTTTCTTGTGGAGCATGTAATCTTAATTCTGATAGAGTTCTACATTTATTTATGATCTTATCTTCTCAAAAATTCGGTAAAGTTTTAAGATAATTTTAGTCACTTTTTTTATTCAAAAATATCTAATACAATATTTAAAAACTAATTCCGAAAATCAAAGAGAAATTGAACTTCAAAACTTCAAAAAAGACTTACATTTCTAACGGTTCATAAACTCCTTCGACCGTGAGCATTCTTCCTCTTATTATTATTTTTTTTTACTCTCACAAGTTTAAAAGAGTTTTTCTAAGGTTTTTAATCTAAAAACCTCACAATACTCTCACAAAATCACACACTTTGTGCTTCGTCTTTCCTCACCTCTATATTTCTCATTATTTTCCTTTCATCCACAATATCTCTTCCTCCATTCTCTCATCCCCTATTTATAAGATAGGAGAGTCACGAGAGAAAGGTTGTCACTATTCCGTCATGCCACTTTATTTAAAAATTATCACATTTCATCATCTAAAAGTTTTCACTTTTCATTACGCTATTTGATTTAAAAGTTACAATTTTTCATTATGTCACTTCATTTAAAAGGTTATCAACTTTTCTCATGTCTCTTCATGTTTATTCTATTTTTTTCATACTTATCTATTATTTTTTTTGTTTGACTCTAATTTTTGACCTGAAATAGAACCCATTAAAATTTCTTAGGCCCACCTAAGCCCATAATGCCTAAATAACAACTCATTATAAATTTTTCTACATATCTCTCAGTTTTTCTTTCCATTTGACTATAAACTATGCCATTAACTTTATTATATATTTTTAAATATATAAAAGACTTAAATTAGATATATCAAATATAAGAAATTAATTTAGAGATATTTTCGAACTATCACAAGATATGTAATGAGATTATATAAAACATTAGTTATAAGACTTAAAAAGACAAATAACATTGGTTATAAAATGATCAGTAATACGCTAAGATACCAAAATTCTCTTTCTATTAATTAAAAAATATTTAAATTTCTTCATAAATGGCTTTTTTCTTATAATTTCGTATACATTAAGACAAGTCAAATAAACCCTCCTCTCATTGATCTCTTTGGCATCATTTATGCCTAATTGATATGGCACTGATTAGCCATGCATTTTAATAATTAATTTAAAGAAGTGGGCATAACTGCCACGTAAGTCTTTTTTAATAATCATAACATTATCATAAATAATAAGAGCTAATTATAGTCTTTCATCACAATAATAGGGATAATACAATTCTCAGTACAAAATATACAAAAAAAGAGGTGAAACATCATGGAGATAATAGAAATTAAATTAAGATAGAATAGAAAAAATCATTATACTAAATAATATTAATTAAAAGTGTTCAAATTTTAGTTTAATTTAGACTTATTTGTAGTCTAGTCATTTTATATATTTTTTTGTCTAATTTGATTCAATCTTTATTTTAGATAAAAATTTTAAAAAAAAAGTTGATAAAAAAAATCTAACAATAAACCAATCTCCTTTTATCAAAGTAAATTCAACCCATTTACACAAAAACAAAAAACAAAAAAGGAACCTTAATCTTCTTTTTACTCAAAACTGTTACACAACTTTTTTTTTTCTTCTCTTTTCTAGTATTGACAACCATCACAAGGTATGGTGTCTCACAATACAGGTTATACAAGATCATAATTCTTTAAAATAAAAGTTTATAGTTCAAAAAAAATAGAAGCAGCCATATTAAACCATTTATGATGGAGTTAGACACTAAAATAATGCATTAGCTTTTATTCAAAAAAATTTAAACTCAAAACAGTATCGAATGGGAAGGATTTAAGCATTCACTTGACGTCATATATATGTTTAATTTAGGTTAACAAATCCTCACATCCTAGTTTGAACAAAGTGCCTAAATACTAAATTTACATATTCAAGCCAAAGCATGATAATTTTATTCTTTCTTCTTTCTCCCCAAAAGACCAAACTCAAAGATTATACATAAATATTGAAAAATGTAACTTTGAAATAAAATTATGATATATATATTTTATTTATATACTTTTATTTAACACACAAATCTATATGTATATAAGTTTCTAAATATTTGTTATTATTAAAGAAACCAATAAATTTGTTTAATTTTAAATTTCATTAATTAATTATTTTTACCTTTTTTTTCAAAAAAATAATTTTATATTTTTAAATAATTAATGCTGATATAAATTAAAATTAATATAAATTTTTTAAAAATAAGATAAATTATTAAATTTATTTTCGAAATTTTTAGTTTTTATATTTTGATTTTTAATATTTTTTAGTTACAATTTAATTTTTAACTCTCTTAAAAAATAAAATAATTATAATATATTTCTATATTTAAAAAATAATTTAAGATAATGATTTTTAGCTATCTAATCTAATTATTTTATTTTTTTTGTTATAAAATAAAATAAAAGTTAAATATTTGAAATAAATTATAAATTATAATAAAAGAATATAAAAATATAAATTATAATATGTGACACAATGATTAATTAATTATTAAATATTCAAAATTCGTGCAATTTTAACGAAACATAGTCTTACGCCACCAGTACCCACTTCCACTAATAAAAGAGATTCCTTCAGTTCATGGAAGAATCACAGACTGGAGTCTTGCCATGGAGTACCAGAGCGTTGGGTACCAAGTGCTTGCAGCGAAAACGTCGTC